GTCACAGAAATTTTTTTCATTTCACATGATACACATAAATATATATATTATTTATCGTGACACACAGCGTCCATGGTAGATTACCTGTCACTCCCCCGAATCATTCTTGGAGTGGTCTGCAATTTGTCGCAGGATAAATGGCACAACTCTACATATGAAAAACGTGCATATATTCCACTTTGGTCCTAGGAAATGAACAAACAAACTTCGTAAATTTAAATAGCCAAAAATACGAATATGATCACACACCAGAATAGTTTGATTCATTAAATGTCGTTTATCATAAGCTCACGTGCGAGGTCGAATCGCTATTTAAATATTTTTCAAAGTCATGTGGCGCAAGTTCTAGAAGTTCGCAGCGCGCCTTGTAATTCGATCTAATAGATGTCGTCGAGTCACGTGCGGTTAAATTGAACATTGAGGACGGACACTTTGTCTCCCCGAGATTTAGAGAACAAGAGAATGTGCCTTCTATCATTCGGAAGCTCACAATTTTTTACATAATTCATTCAATTACAATTACTTTAGTGATTTTAAATTTGGAATATTGCGCGGAGGACGTCTTGGCCGCTCCCAGAACTATTTTCAATTGTCTCACAAGGCATTATATATATGTGTGTATATATAAGTATGCATGTATTTTTTTTTTTTTGTTTGCACAAATAACAATTATCTAATTGTGCGAAGTGAGAGGGAAAAGAGGGGGGGGAAGAGAATGAAGGAGTAATTAATTCTATGCTTCCAACTGAATGCCCACACCAAACCGTGATGTGCCCTAGTACACGAATTCAATTGCGAGTTAGCCGACAGAAGTAGAATGAATGATCATGCTCAGAATTCGAACGAAAATTCAACCGAACCTTCATGTGTTCGATATCACCCGTGATGAGAAAACTAAATCCGGGGGCTATCTTCTGCTCTATGACCACGGATACGCGACCCGAGGTGTCCACCTAAATTTGATTTCGCCAACATGGTGGTGAGACATTTAATCATATAATCATCGACATCGTGTTAATGAATCAATACCTGGCCTCTGAATGTTGCCGCCCTGAAGTCGAATTTACCACCCTTGAAAACAATTCGAACAATTAGCATCGGCTTGGTTGGCTTCTGGACAAAGCGAGACTAACACCAGATCAGCTACATACTACAGTGCACAAAGCTTCCCTTCGTCCTGCAGCAGCGTAGATTTGAAGTTCGGTCCCAAAATCCACTTTTTCGTTCAGCTTCTGGTAATATGATGCCTGTAGCGCACCAACCTCCTGCCACTGAACTGTCGCGATATAATTTTCTCCGCTATATTTCGCAACCAAGGATTTGGTACATTCTTCGATATCTGATGTTGGTCTCTGGTATACAGTTTCAACGCCCAAAGCAAGTTTTCGCGTTACCGATTGGATGTAACTTAAAAAAAAGATACCGGTATTCTCGACCGGCCATGGATTAATGGTTTTGTAATTGATGGAAAAATCGGAGCCTTGGTAGTCCTGCTCCAGTTGAAGCATTGAATGCCCCGAAGATGGTAATATCTTTTATGAAGCAATATGGTTATTGTA